CTAGTCTACTGTGGCCTCTTGCGCATCCCCTTATTGCACCGCGAGAGCGAGCGTTGGACGCTTCGTCGGCCGAGCGTAACAGCTGAGCGCCGCGGGACTCTCGTCGTCCAACGCTCTCGCCAACCTCGTGCCGCTCGTGCCGACCAGCTCGCACACTGTAGCGAGCCTCGACAGCTACCGTCCGTCCATCGCGTGTGCCCAACTGCCTCAGCCGATGATGCCGTCCCCGCACCCGCACCATCACCACTCGGAGCGCGGCATCGCCAAGAACCAGGTCCTCAGCTCAGCTGCGTGCGTCCCCTCTCTCTGAGCAGTCCTGCGAGTCATCTTGGTGGCGCTGACCTGCCCCACACGGTCGCCCGCAGCCGCAACCCCTGGTACGGCCGAGGTGAGCCGTTTCTCATCTCGGACAGCGACACCCTCCGCGACCACGAGCACTGACTCGTCGTGGGCCCGCAGACGGCAAGCCAAGGCCAGCATACATCATCGGCATCGGCGGCGGGAGCGCGAGCGGCAAGGTGCGCTCACCTCGTCCTGATCCCTCTCTCCGCCAGTCGAGCTGACCGCGCACTCGGGTTTCCTTGCAGACGAGGGTCGCGCAGGAAGTCCTCAAGCAGCTCGGCGTGCCCTGGGTCCTCGTCATCTCCCAGGACAACTTCTACAAGCCTCTGACGCCCGAGGAGTCGGCTCAGGCCCGCGCCAACAACCACGGTGCGTCCTCCTCTCCCTCCTTCCTCGTTCCTCGCCATCCATGAGACAGAAGCTGACTGTCCACGCTCGCAGACTTTGACAGCCCCGACTCGTTCGACTACCCGGCCCTGCGCGACTGCGTGCGCGACCTCAAGGAGTGTCGAGCGGCCCAGATCCCCAACTACTCGTTCGTCCACCACCAGCGCACCGACGAGACGACCTACCTGTACGGCGCCAATGTCATCATCGTGCGTCCTCGGCGTCCTTTCCCCTCTCGGCTTTCTCAGGTCGGGCGCTGACCCTCTACAGGTCGAGGGCATCTTTGTCCTGTACGACAAGGGCCTGCGTGACCTCCTCGACCTCAAGGTGTACGTCCAGTGCGACTCGGACCTCATGCTCGCCCGCCGGCTGCGGCGCGACCTCGTCGAGCGTGGTCGAGACGCCGACGGCGTCCTGACTCAGTACGTGAAATACGTCAAACCGGCGCTCGACAACTTTATCCAGCCGACCAACCGGTTCGCCGACATCATCGTGCCCGGCGAGCGCAACGAGCGGTCGATCGAGCTCATCGTGTCGCACCTCGAGGCCGAGCTCGGCAAGCGCCGGCGCGAGCTGCGCGGCGACCTGTACAAGGAGACGGTCCCGAACGGCGGCGGGTCTGGGAGCGTGCCGCCGACGCCGACGCACGAGCGGAGCGAGAGCGAGGGCGGGCTCGACCGCATCAAGGCGGCGTGCGGAGCGAGCCAGGCGGCGGCACTGCCCGACACGGTCTACTTGCTCAAGGAGACGCCGCAGATCCGGGTGCGTCCCTACTCTCTCTCACTTCCTCAACTTCTCGCGACCCTGCCGGGCTCTCGAACTGACCGACCGTTGCCCGTCCTCCCTTTCCCTCCTCCCGTCCACCTCGCCTTCTGTACCCTGCAGGGCATCCACACGCTCCTTCGTGCGACCGACTCGGACCCGGAGGACTTCATCTTCCTCGCCGACCGCCTGTCGACCCTCGTCATCGAGCACGCCCTGTCGCTCCTCCCGTACCGGTCAAAGGCCATCGAGACGCGCACCGGCATCGCCCACGTCGGCATGGAGCTCGACGTTCCCGCTGGCCACCTGTGCGGCGTGTCCATCCTGCGGTCGGGCGCGTCGCTCGAGAAGGGCTTGCGGCGAGTCGTCGAGGACGTGCCCGTCGGGAGCGTGCTCGTCCAGAGTGACGCCCAGTCGGGCGAGCCCCTCCTGTACCAGGTCGCGCTCCCGCAGTGCCTCACGGCGTCGCGCGAGAGCGCCGCCATGAGCTTCGTCCTCCTGCTCGACTCGCAGATCGGGACGGGCGCGGCGGCGCTCATGGCGGTCCGCATCCTGCTCGACCACGGCGTCCTCGAGGAGCACATCATCGTGTCGACCATCCTTGTTTCGCGCGTCGGCGGCATCTGGGCGCTCAAGCGGGCTTTCCGTGAGTCGCTCGGTCCTCTTTCTCCCCCCCCCCCCCCAAAACACAAAATATATATAGGGGAGACCGGCGGTCTAATTGATCTTCCAACTACCTTCCCACAGCGACCGCTCCCCCCCCCCGCAAAGGCGCGATTCTCGCCCAGTTATTCCCTTTGGGGGGGTATCTTTCTATCAATGTTATAAGAAGGGG